GGCCAATTGGGGAGTGAACCAACAGATGGAAGACTTCTCTCTGTGTCTCTACCTCTCTCTGTAACTCTGTCTTTCAAATAAATAAAATAAATCTAAAAAAAAAGATATATATTTGTTTTTTTTTTTTTTTGACAGGCAGAGTGGACAGTGAGAGAGAGACAGAGAGAGAAAGGTCTTCCTTTTGCCGTTGGTTCACCCTCCAATGGCCGCCGCTGCAGCCGGCGCACCACGCTGATCCGATGGCAGGAGCCAGGATCCAGGTGCTTTTCCTGGTCTCCCATGGGGTGCAGGGCCCAAGCACCTGGGCCATCCTCCACTGCACTCCCTGGCCATAGCAGAGAGCTGGCCTGGAAGAGGGGCAACCGGGACAGAATCCGGCGCCCCAACCGGGACTAGAACCCGGTGTGCCGGCGCCACAAGGTGGAGGATTAGCCTAGTGAGCCACGGCGCCGGCCTTATATATTTGTTTTTAGTCTAGATAGTCACTCACCTCAGCAAGAAAGGGCTTACTGCTATTAGATGCCTGGCAAACAGGCAGACAATGCCTTTTAAAGCCTCTGAGGACATTAAATTATTACTTTTTCTACACAAAAATTCAGACTCCATCCAACAGAGAGAAGAGGTACATGCTGACAGTTTATCAGTATGGTCTAGGGAAAAGTATACTTTGTTTTCTTATTCGTAATGTTGGAGTTACATAAACAGGGACGTGACCCAAAACGTTTCCTACCCCATTGGTAGAACTGCCCACTCCACCACTCCCAGAGGGGCTCTTTAGATGTCCTTGGTCACGTAGTCCTGGATAACTGCACTGTACTGGATTACCTTGAGCCACACAGGGTGGGGTCTGTGCTGTGATGAGTGCTTCATGCTGTACTTGGATAATTGCTTTTAGCCAGATTGAGTTGGAAACTTCCAAAGTCTTAAAATTGACTAAGTTCCTAAAAGGAGTGCCCTTAAAGAATCCTCTCAGCTGGTTCAATTTCTAATTCTCAGATTTTTTCAGCTGGCTACACTCTGATATTGATTCCATGTTGCATTCTGCCCCACGGGTTTGTTTGCCTTTTGTTTTCTGTTTTGAGAGGTAGGGAGACAGAAAGAGGGTCAGAACACCCAGGCTGGTTCACTCCCCAAATGCCCAAGAGCCAGGCACTCAATCCAGATGCCCTACATTGAAAGCAGGGACCCAACCACTAAAGCCATCACCTACTGCCTCCCAAGTGCATGCATGTTAGAAGGAAGTTTAAATTAGAGTGGAGTCAGGACTTGAACCCAAGCACTCTGATACAGTATGCAGACATCCTAAACAGTATCTTACTAAACAGACACACCTGCCCAATTTTTTTAAAGATCTCATTTATTTATTTGAAAAGTGGGAAGAGAGAGAGATTGAGATTGAGATTGAGATTGAGATCTTCATCTGCTGGCTCAGCACAATGGCTGGCATTAAACCAGGTCAAACTCGGGAGCCTGGAACACCATCTGGTCTCCCATGTAGGTGGCAGGGGCCCAAGCATTTGGACCATCTTCTACTGCTTTCCCAGGCATCTTAAGGAACTGCATCAGAAGTGGAGCAGCTGGGATTTGAACCAGCACCCCTATATGGTATGCAAGTATCATGGTGATGGGTGGTTTAAGCCACTGCACCACAACACTGGCCCCACCTTACAGTTTTGAAAAATTCTCATCATAGGACTAAGCATATGCTTCTCTTTAAGATTATTCTAGCCTGTTTCTACAGATGCCTGCAAGACAGCCCACCAGAATCATGCTAATCCAACACTTTAAGACTCTAGACTCACTCCAATTAGAAATTGTAACCAGTCTTACCCGAAATACTATTTTTGAAAGTTATTTATTTCTTTGAAAGACAGAATGATAGAGAAAGGGAGAGAGAGAGAGAGAGAGAAAGAGAGAAAGAGAGAGAGATCGATCTTGCATCCACTGGTTCACTCCCAAATGGCTGCACCAGCTGAGTTTGGGCCAGGCTGAAGCCAGGAGTCAGGAACTACATCATGGTCTCCCACATGGGTGGCAGGGGCCCAGGCACTTGAGCCATCTTCTGCTGCCTTCCCAGGTGCATTAGCAGGAAGCTGAATCAGAAGTGGAGCAACTGGGACTCAAACCAGTAGTCTAATATGGGATGCTAGCACCACAAGCAACGATTTAACTCACTGTGCCACAGTGCTGGCCCCATACACCCAAGAGACTGATTCAGATCTGACAGGTACCTGGGTGAATCTTGTAAGTAAATGGATTTAGTTGCTCAGTTGACCACTGCCTGCTGTGAAGATCCCAACATGAAACTGAATGGATCTGAGCAGGTAATCAACCACTCTAGCATCATAATGGAACATGAGCGACATAATTGATCATCAGTACTGCCTGCTGATAGGTTTTAATCAGAGGGGGGGAAACGTGTCTACGGCCATGCCCCTGAACATGTCCAACTTCAAAAGGGAGAAGTGTAAACCTTGGGAAAAGCTGAACCTTCAAGATGAATTTTGAGTGGCAAAATGTGCCTAACATTTAAAATGGAGCCAGCCAGACATTTGCTGACTAGAGATTGCATATATATTCTGTTGCTCTGTATTCCGAAAACGTAACAAAAAATCTGCTTTGTGGCTCTTGCCTAGGTATGTTTCTGTTTGAGAGATGATCATTTCTAAAAAATTCTCAACTTCATCATGTGGACTTGACCAATGGACTGCAACCTATGGTCAACAATTGAAACTGAATAACTCACAATACCTCATTTGCATAAGCCTCTCAGAACTGAACAAGCATAAATGCTTCATTTGTATAAGTGGACTTCAATGAGAAACTGAGTGGGAAATTCCTATAAGTAGGACAATTCCTTTCCTTTGTTGGTGTAATGCACTTCTGGTTTCTGTTAAACAACATATGGCCCAAGGCTGGCGCTGTGGCATAGCTGGTAAAGCCGCTGTCTGCAGTGCCAGCATCCCATATGGGCACCAGTTTGAGTCCCAGCTGCTCTGCTTACGATTCAGCTTTCTTCTGTGACCTGGGGAAGCAGTAGAAGATGACCCAAGTCCTTGGTCTCCTGCACTCCTGTGAAAGACCCAGAAGGAACTCCTGGCACCTGGCTTCAGATCAGCTCAGCTCCAGCCATTGCAGCTATTTGGGGAGTAGATAGAAGATGTGTGTGTGTGTGTGTGTGTGTGTGTGTGTGTGTGTATGTGTCTACTTCTCTCTGTAACTCTTTCAAAATAAATAAAATCTTTTTCTTTAACATTTTATTTATTGAAAGGCAGAGTTACAGAGAGAGAAGGAGAGAGAGAGAAGGAGAGAAAGAGAGAGAAGGCGAGACAGAGAGAGAGAGAAAGAGTCTTCCATCCTCTGGTTCACTCCCCAGAATGGCTGCAATGGCCAGAGCTGCTCCAATCCAAAGCCAGAGCCAGAAGCTTCTTCTGGGTCTCCAGCAGCGGGCGGGGGCTCAAGGACTAGAGCCATCTTCTACTGCTTTCCCAGGCCATAACAAAGAGCTGGATTGGAAGTGGAGCACCCGGGACTCAAACCAGCACTCATGTGGGATGGCAGCACTGCAGGTGGAGGCTTTACCCGCTATGCAAAAGCACCGACCCCTAAAATAAATCTTAAAAAAAGGCATAGAACTTAACAAATGTAGATAAACCCCACTTTAAAAAAAAAGAAAGAAAAGAACAATTGGCCCAGGCACATTAGCAGGAAGCTGGGAAGTTGAATCAGAAGTGGACTAACTGGGGCCATGTTATAGTATAGTAGGGTAAGTCTGCCTGCAAAGTTGGCATCCCAAATGGGCACTGGTTCACGTCCTGGCTGCTCCACTTCCCATCCAGCTCTCTGCTTAGGGCCTGGGAAAGCAGTGGAAGATGGTCCAAATGCTCCCAAGTGGGAGACCCGAAAGAAGCTCCTGGCTCCTGGCTTTGGATTGGAGCAGCTCTGGCCATTGTAGCTATTTGGGGAGTGAACCAGTGGATGGATGACCTTTCTCTCGTCTCTCCCTTTCTCTGTCTTTAACTCTGCCTCTCAAATAAATAAATAAATAAATCTTTTTTTTTAAGTGAAGTAGCCAGAATTTGAATTGGCACTCTGATATGGGATATGGGGGTCCCAAGCAGCAGCTTAACTCACTGCACAGTGCATGCCCCCCAGCTTATTTCACTTAGCATAACACCTTTAAAGCTCATCCATGTCATACCATGTAACAGAATTTCATTCCGTTTTGAGAGTTAATAATACTGTACTTGTGTGCATGTGTGTATGTGTGTGTGTGACATTTTGTTTTCCCATTCATCTGTTCAATTAACATTCAGATCGTTTCTACCTCTTAACTGTTGAGAATAGTGCTACTAAAAATGACGTATACAAATATTTCTTCAGGACTGGCTTTCAATTCTTTTGAGTATTTACCCAATTGTGGAATTGCTGTATCCTGTGGTAATTCTATATTCAAATTTTTGAAGAATCACCAAACTGTTTTCCTTAGCAGTTGAAGCATTTTACATTCCCATTAACAGCACACAAAGGTTCTGGTTTCTTCACCTCTTTACCAACACTTGCTATTTTCTGTTTTTATAATAGCTATGCTAATGGACATGTGGGGTAACTCTAGTGATTAATGATGCTGAGTATCTTTTCATGTGCTTATCTATCTACTCTGCTCATCTTTGAATTGAGATGTCTGTTTTTTGTTGTTGATGATGAAGAGTTATGAGGGTTATTTATAAGTTCTGGATATTAATTCTTTATTGGCTATGTGATTGGCAATATTTTCTCCCATTCTGTGGGTTGTCTTTTCACTCTTTTGGCAGGGTCTTGTGATGCACAAAGCTGGAAATATTTTTAAATAGGGAAATGCAGAGAGACTTTGCCAATTAGCAGGTGTGATTACTGGTTAGAAACATTCTTATTATTGCCATTGCTATTATTTCATGTCTACTCATGATGAATGTTTAGGGAAAATCACAATAAAAGAGCAAATGGCCTATCTCTGAACCTCGTGGGTATCTGGGGAGTAAACCAGCAGATGGAGATCTCTCTGTGTCTCTCCCTCTCTCTGTCATTCTGTCTTTCAAATATATAAAATAAATATTTTTTAAAATGGCCTTCAGTTTTATTCAGTCTTGTGAAATCTGAGGTTCACAGATTAAAGGCTGAATATGAAATTGCTATCCATTTGGTCTGTGAATTAAGAAACAAAAGTCATAGTTTGATTATAATAGAGGAATACCTGGGAGTATATTTTGGGAGTTATTGTTCTAGCTACCTTGCTGCTTAGATTTTGTAGTTTTCCATGAGAAAAGATCTAGTTACCTTTTTAAATCAGGGTTTCCTACCATTCTTTGGTGCCTAGGGACAGGTCATTTTGGTGATGGCTGCCTTGACATCCTTGTTCCTCAGTGTGTAGATGAGGGGGTTGAGAACAGGAGTGAGAATGGCATACACAACATTGCCCGTGATGTGGAAGTCGAGGGGCAGGTCAGCCCTGTAGGCCACGTAGGCTACGGCGATGGATGAGTAGTAGGTGCCCACCACCAGGAGGTGGGAACTGCAGGTGGAAAAGGCTTTTGAGCGGCCTTCTCGAGACTTGATGCGAAGCACCGAGGCCAGGATGTGGGCGTAGGAGAGAAGCACCAGCAGGAGGGGCAGGGAGGACACCACCATGGCGATGCAGAAGCCCATGAGGGTCTGGGAGGTGGTGTCGGAGCAGGAGGACTGGACCAGAGACAGGTGGTCACAGAAGCAGTGGTGGATGTAGGCAATGCTGTTGTATGCCATCTGGGAGGTCTTTACTACTGCTGGGACGGGCAGGAGGAAGGCAGTGAGCCAGGCGCTGGCTGCCAGTGCAGCATTGGTCTGTGGGGTCATGTGGACAGGGTAGTGCAGTGGGCGGCAGATAGCCACATAGCGGTCATAGGCCATGACCACCAGGATGAAGGCTTCTGAACAGGAGAAGCTATGGAAGAGGTACATCTGCAGGAAGCAGGCAGGAAGGAAAGCTGAGGAAGTGGTCCCCAAACAGGAATAGAGACAGCATCTTGGGGACGGTGGTCGTGGTGAAAAGGATGTCCAGGGCTGAGAGGTTGATGAGGAAGAAGTACATGGGCTTGTGGAGGCTAGGCTCTGCCAGCACAGCCCCCAGGATCAGGGCATTACCCAGCAGGATGAGCAGGTAGAGGAGGAGGAAGATAAAGAAGATGGGAAGGAAGAGGTGCTCCGGCAGAGAGGGGATGCCTGCCAGGTAGAAGACAGGTGAGTCATCTCCTGATCCATTACAGGCTGTGGTCTCCATGGGGGCTAAAGCTGGATGCTCAGGAGGTGGGTAGTGAGACATCTGCAAACCAGGCTCCTCTGCAAACAGAACAACCAGAGGTTCCGGGGTGAGAATTCCAGAAAGGTCATGAACACGACTGTATTTATGTAATTTGCAGTCTAGAGCACAGGGGATGGGTTGTGTCCCATATCAAATTTCTTCAGCCCTTTCTAGAATTGCCTCTTCCCTTTTAAAAATCAACCATGAGAAATTGTCTACACTACACAAACCATACACTCTGTGTGAGGTATAGGTGACAAATTGATGGGTCTGAAATTCCAGGGGTAAAGATACTAAGCAATAATTATTTAATAATTTTAAAATTTAATAATAATTTCATTGCAGTTGCTTGGCAGAACTCCTCCTGGTGTCCTATTCCATTTCCCATATGGTCTTCTTGGCGGATTAAGATCTCTCATCTGGCCCCCGAGTTCCTTTCTCTTTCAACCTTTGCTTCAAGTTTTACAAAAGGACATCATTGTCCCCAGTCGCTCATGAGCCCTGATTTATCCAAGGTTCACAGCAGCAAGTATCTTCCACCATAATCACTAAAGGGCCTGTCTCCCTGTTCTCCCGCTGGTTTGCTGCAGGGCTTCTACTGTCTCTCTGGAGTTCTGTGTCCCCTCTCTGGGGGCAGGGCTTGTTGTCATGTTCCAAAACTGCAAGTGTGGTGAGAAGTTATCCCTGACTAGGGTCCTGACAATGTTTTCTCCCACCCCAGGCAGCCCTGGAGAGCCCACGCCTCTCTCTGTCATCCAGTGAATTTCCCTCCATCTTGGCTGCTGCCACTCAGCAACTGCTCTTGTTTGGCCTCGGCATGCCCGCTATGCAGCAGACTCCCCCGGCCCCTGGTTGGAAAGGGTCCTGGTGACCTGGGAGGCCTTGGGAGGTGTTGTTGAAAGAGAAAAAAACCCAAAATATGTTGGCAGCAGCTGCTCCAAGGCAGAAGAACCCCAGAGGCTCAGAAATGAACATTTCAGCTCCCAGCCCAGGCATTTTGGGTTGAAGGAAAGCGCTGACTCACCCTCTGCTCTAGGTGTGCCACTTGGATGGAGCAACCCCCGGGGCAAGTCCACATGAGCAACAGCATCATTGCCTCTTTAATCCCAGTGGTTCCCCTTATTGTCCTGAGCCACTTCTGATTTCCCACTTTTCTAACAAATCATCTTCATGAATGCAACCACTAATATAGAAACTGGGAAAATGTCCCAACCATAGACTAGAGACTGTGCACAAGGAAAGGGGGGCTTCCCAGGTGCCTGGACTGCTGTTTTTTGTTTTTGTTAAAGGAGCTGGAATTCTTTTTTTTTTTTAATCAAATTATTTATTTGAGAGGCAGAGAAAGAGATAGACACATAGAGAGATCTCCCATCTCCTGGATCATTTTTCAAACACTCAGAGTAGCTAAGGTTGGGCCAGGCTAAAGACAGGAGCGGAACTCAGTCCAGGTTCCTACTGAAGCCATGACCTGCTGTCTTCCAGGGTGAACAGTAGCAAAAAGCAGGAATTGGTAGCAGAGCTGGGACTCAAACTTGGGCTCTCTGATACTGGTTGCAAGCATCCTAAGCAGCGTATTAATCACTAAGCCAAATGCCCACCTCTGTGCTGGTCTTTGCTTTCCAGAGCAAAGCACTTGCCTTGTATGTATCTCCTGGAGAATCCTGAAGTCCAAGTTTCCAATGTGGAACAGTTTTTGCCTTTTTGATTTTGCCATTGATGGCATCATACAAAATTAGAGTTCGGGTTTTTCTCTGCGTCTCTGTATGATAGGCACTAAATTGGTGTCTGGCAACACAAAGGATCCTTTGAAATAACACCCCAGGATCTGGCAGAAGAGTGAACCTGTTTCAAACAGAGAGTCAGCCTTCAGTTAACCAGAACCCTTTCCCAACAGATTTTGGTGGCCAGATTTTCCTCAAACCCAGAGGAATGAAAGCTACATGGCCCTGGACAATCCTGCATTCAGAGAAGCAGTCATGGGCTGATCCGTGGGTTAGGGTGATGTGGGGGTTGGAGAGATAAAATCTCAGGTCAAAACCACTTGGGCTCTAACAGGCCATCAAGCCCAGCTGCTCTGCTCTTTCTTTCTTTGTCCAGTTTTGTGCAGATGGTCCATGGCTTTTCCATGCCAGGCGGTGCTGGACTATTTAAGAAGCAGCCCAGGTGCAGGCCACCAGCAAAGCAGGGCTCCAGAAATGTGGTAGGAATTTAACATGGGCTGTTTCATAGCACCAATCACCTAAGCCACCACCAGAAATACCAGAATTTGGCTGGACTTTCTTATAGTTCTTACTTTATTTTGAATTATATGTTACCTCCCAGTGATGCAGTCACAGGCTTAGGGCCAAAAGGACATTTCCCAGGGCACTGAACTTGCCCCAGTTGTCTTCCCTGTGGGAGTGGTCTATGACCCAGAGCTGGCAAGAAAAGACAGGAAACCCCATCACCTGGATGTCCAGCCTTGCATGACACTCCACAGCCATCATCTCTCAACACACAGCCCTGACAGGGTGTGGTGATGTGCCATCAACACACAAGAACCTGGGGGTCAGAGGAAGATGGGCTCGCTTCCAAGGCCACTGCTGGCAAGGGGCGAGAGCAGAGGGTATTCCTGGAATCAGCCTGCTGTGAGGCTGTCCTGCCTTCCTGGCAGCCAAGAATCCTGGCTCCCAGACCAGCCCTGCCATTTGCTGGCTGTAACCATCCTTCTTCCCCACAGCCTAAGTTTTCCTCCCTGTACAGTGAGAGGTTTGAAGACCAGGTCTCTGAGGGGTTCCAATTCACTGAGCCATGTTCTCAGTGTCCCCATATATTTGGCAGGATGGTCCATGCCCATAAGGGAGAGGGCAAGGGCTGCCCTGCTCAGGTCACCTGCTTAAGGTCAAGTCCTTTGCCTCTTGGTTAAGGGTACATACTTGAGAGTCAGAAAGGACTGGTTTCCAATCCCTGCTCCCACTTCCAGCTGTGTGACCCTTGAGCATCATGTCACATCCCATCATCTGAAACCACATAGGGTTTCATTCATGGAGAGAACTCAGAAAATGCTTTCTACAAGCCCAGGACATGTGAATTCAAAGTTTTCTAGAGTTTCAGGGCCAGCACTGTGGTGTAGCTGGTAAAGCTACCACCTACAGTGCTGGCAGCCCATGTGGGTGCTGGTTTGTGTCCCAGCTGCTCCACTTCCAGTCCAGCTCTCTGCTATGGCCTGGGAAAGCAGTAGAAGATGCCCAAGTCCTTGGGTCCCCGCACCTGCGTGGGAGACTGGAAAGAAGCTCCTGGCTCCTGCCTTCGGATCAGCGCAGCTCCTTCTGTTGCGGCCATTCGGGGAGTGAACCAACGGATGAAAGACCTCTCTCTCTTTCTCTGCCTCCTGCCTCCTGCCCCTGCCCCTGCCCCTTCCCCTTCCCCTACCCCTACCTCTATCTCTACTTCTCTGTAAGACTCTTCATTTCAAATACATAAATAAGTCTTAAAAAAAAAAAAGCCAAAGTTTTCTACAGTTTCATTGGTTCCTGGGAAAAGATGCCACCACAGTGATTTGCCTCCCAGCTGTGAGCATTCCTCCTTACCCTTATCGGACCCATCAGGATGCCTGGTCCAAGTCGCCCACCGTGCATAGGCATACAGTGGATCTTGGGTGCCTGCTTCTGTGCACATCCAATCTATCTTCCTGACCTCTGGCCCAGAATTATGGTCCTTGATCCTCCATGCTCATCCCCCATCCCTGTCTGCATACCAGTCCTGCCTATCTGTGGGCACAACATGTCCAGCAAAGGTCACCTGCTGAGCCTGGTTCCACAGTTGTCTCTGTGGTTCTCCGCATGAAGCCTTGGGGGAAGTTAGCAGGCTGGGGTTGTGGGCCATGGACCTTAAACCCTTGTGCTCCTCCTTTCAGGCAGGCCTCTCAGGGTATTTTCCCTCAGGACAGTGCTCCTGTGGGCACTGTGCTACCATCCCTCAGGGACCAATTCCTGGCATCTCCTAGGGCATGTGTAGGAGGGTGTGGGCCTTGGCACTGGGCTTCATGATAATGAGAGGAACACCACTAACAGCCCTCAAGGGCCCAGAGTTCTACACTAATGGTGTAGCCTTCATTCCCATGATCCCACCTCACACTCATAGCAGCAGAGGAGGCAGGAAGCAACCACAAGGTATACAGAGAATACAAGAGAAGGAAGAGAAATAACCCACCCCCTTTCACACGGTGGGGCTAGAGGCAGAGCTAGAATTGGGATGCAAAGCTCTATTCCTTGCCCAGTGCTTTGACCACTACCACAGTTGTGTAATAATTAAGAAGATGGGATTTGGAACTATTAGATATTAAAGATATTTCTGTATTGGTGTGCTGGTTTTCCACTAGCTTTTACCATTGTATATAGAAATACTAATATGCACTGCAGCAAAGTCTGCTGGTGGGAATGTAGATTAGTAAGTGTGGTTATTGGACAGATGTTCTTCAAAAACTTAAAAATACATCTACTGTGTGATCCAGCAATCCCACTACTCAATATTTATCCAGGCCGGCGCCGCGGCTCACTAGGCTAATCCTCAGCCTGTGGCACTGGCACCCTGAGTTCTAGTCCCGGTTGGGGTGCCGGATTCTGTCCTGGTTGCTCCTCTTCCAATCCAGCTCTCTGATATGGCCCAGGAAGGCAGTAGAGGATGGCCCAAGTGCTTGGGCCCTGCACCCACATTGGAGACCAGGAGGAAGCACCTGGCTCCTGGCTTCAGATCGGCGCAGCGCACCAGCCGTAGCAACCATTTGGGGGTGAGCCAACAAAAGGAAGACCTTTCTCTCTGTCTCTCTCTGTCTCTCTCTCTCACTGTCTAACTCCGCTCAAAAAAAAAAATATCCAAAGGAAATTAAATAAGTATGTTGAAGAGATATCTAAAGCCGCACGTTTGCTGCAGCACTATTCACAATAGCCAAGATGTGGAATCAACCTAGGTGTCCATAAACCCTGAATGGATAAAGGAATCGTGGTACATAACACAATGGAATACTATTCAGCCTTATGAAGAATGAATTCCTGTCATTTGCAATGACATGGATGGACTTGGAGATCATGAAATTACAAATAAACCAGTCCAGAAAGACAAGTACTACATGATCTCACTTATATGTGAAATCTCAAAAATATTGACCTCATTG